TATCTAATTATCATCTGCTTATTATCTTATTGTCATTATATATATGCACACACTTATGTAATCTATTGATTTCTTTTTAATAGTTTTTTTATTTCTTGATTTTTTTCTTTGATTTCTTGATTTTTTTGATAGATAATCTATCTAGATAGATAATTGTCATCATCACTATTATTATTAATATTATTATATATTAAAATAGTATTGAAATTTTACCAGTAGGATGATGATGATAAGGAGAAGGATGAGAAGGAGAAGGAGGAGGATGAGGAGGATATAAATTGCATTGTTAAAAATAATAATAATATTAATAATAATGGAACAAATGTAAAACAAAAAAATAGAACAAATGTAATATAAATCACACACACACACACACGTGATTTATATTACATTTGTTCCATTTTTGCAAAACAATATACATAAAATATTAGGGATGTAACGATTCACAAAATTAGATTTAAGACAAATAATAAATGAAAAGGTGTTCTTTTATTATTGCTTGGACAAAATGCAGCACATTTCTTTGTGAAACAGAAAAATGTCAAATAACAATACTAAATTTAAAATTTAAAACAAACCCCAAATCTAATCAAATAAATAAGACAAAACAAACCTTTTCATATAAACAAAGGCTTTGCCTGTGCTCTTTCCATTCAAAATTAGACGCAACCACTGCATTTGAATCACAATCCAAACAAAGATGCTGAATACATGCAGCATGAGCAGTTTTTAAAAAATCTAAATTAGATTGTATAATTTGACATTTTAAAACAAAAACAAAAACAGAATGCTCTGACTTTAGTTTTGTGACTATACTACATAAAACATCTGCACGAAACAAACAGCAGAAGCTCTGAATGAGACGCAGATTCACTCTCTGACAGCAGGTGGCGCTTATGGAACAGCAGCGATACAGCGTTTCCTTGGTTACCGCTGTAAACAAAGCAGTGCTGCGCTTATGAACGCTGCTTTAATATGAATTATACAGAGATGAGATGAAAAGAAAATATCATCTAAACTTTTCTAAAGACAGTCAGTTCCCCTCAGAGATACATTCATATAAACTTCATTCATATAAACTCCACGGTGAATCGTTACGCGATTCGTTTAACATTTCAACCGATTTGAATAGTCACATTTGTATCGATTTTCAACCGGCTCACGGTGAATCGTTACATCCCTATAAAATATATAGCCTAAAGTTAAGTTGTAATATATTTATTTATAATTATTATTATGTAGATTTTTTTTATAGCAATAAGGATATATACAGATCAAATTCTGTAATTGATAAATGATGCACTGCATTATCAATGACAGACTGACCATTAACAGATATAATATGAATCAGTGACGTCTCCTTGTGTAGTCTGTGATGAAGGGAACAGCTCTGATGATTGATGAGTTTAATTAAAGAGCCTGAGACCCCCAGAGTCTGATATGGACATCTCCTCTCCCCCCTAAGAGGACTGAAAATGACTTTAGAGAGCTCAGGCCAATCAGAACATCTGTGCAACATGCTGACACGGACACTACAAAACACAGATGTGTGTCTGTGTTTGATGGTGTCAACCACCGTCACGTCACCCGCTGCGCTGTCTGCTTTCTGATGAACACTGTTTCATAGTTTGTGGGCCATTCAAGTTCAGCTGTTGTTAGACATTTCTGTGGTACTAAATGAACCTGCAAACTCTCAAAAACTCCCGTCTGCTACTGCTAAAAACAGTATAATAGTACTACTAAGATACCATAATGCTTAAACACTTTAATTTATATGATTATCTGTACACTACAGTACAAATATTTGGTCTGTAAGATTTTTATTAATACTTTTAATATTAATACTTTTATTGAGCAAGGACGCATTAAATTGATCAAAAGTGTCAGAAAACTTTTGTAACGTTATAAATGTCTCTCTTTACTATTTCAAATAAATGCTGTTCTTTTGAACTTTACATTAATCAAAAAACACTAAAAAAGTATCACAGTTTCCATTAAAATATAAAGCAATACAACCGTTTTCAACACCGATAATAAGAAATGTTTCTTGATCAGCAAATCAGCATATTAGAATGATTTCTGAAGGATCATGTGACACTGAAGACTGGAGTAATGATGCTGAAAATTCAGCTTTGATCACAGGAATAAACTACATTTTAAAATATATTCAAATAGATCAAGCACATGCAGCCTAGCTACTAACCTCAAACTTTTGAATGGTTGTGTACTAATTCTTAAAAAAAAAAATTATTAAATAATAATACAATAAATAAAAATAAAAAATAAATAAAAATATATATATGTATATATATATGGGTCAAAGATAATACAATAAATAAAAAAAATAAATAAATAAAAAAAAAAATATATAATATTACATAACTTTTATTTTTGATTTTATTTTTTAATTTACATTAACTTTTTGCAAATTACCTTTTAATTTATATTAGTCTTTTAATTTATAATTAGACTGTGACTGAGACAATCTTGACTTCTGAGGACAACTATTTCAGTGTCATTTGTCAGGTAGTGTCTTTTATGCATGATATTTTATTTATGTTATGCATAAAATAAAGAATCTGGGTGACCGTGTTACTCTGCATTGGACAGAAAGTGACCATGTCCCGCTGGACAAAAGCACCAGATGTTGCACATTTCATTCCCTCTCTTGTTCTCAATCCATCATTCCCCTAGCCGGCCATCATAACATCTCGAAATGAGCCTCTGCCTGTGCTTCTACGCTTGCTCGATATCTTGTACTTTCCTTAATTTATGAATCTAACAGAACTCCTCCATTTCATGCATCTTCAGTTGGCTGTACTTTCAGTGTGAGCCTGTTTTTTTGGCTCTGCCAGGACACTCACACACGCTTCAACATGAAGCTCGTACTCCAGGCTTCAGATCTACTGCTGGCCCACAAACACACACTAGAAGAACCACACGCGGCTCTGGCAGACTCAGAAAAGGAGGGAGGCAGATCCATGCGGTCCCGCAATCTGTTGTCTCCGGTTCACAACGTGGCAGAGAGACACCAGTAAAACCATCACCTACAAACCCATCACATCCAGCTATAGCTGCCGTCTACACCTTCCTCACTGGAGCTCTCGCTTATGCTGCTTTTCAGTTTCAACTTGATCTCAGACGTTTCTCCTAAAATTCCCTTAGGTCGGGTTAATTGCACCAATAAGGATTAAGTTTATATTTATAGATTAAGTCAAGGTTTATCTAATAATTCTGATGCATCAAACTTTAAACCTTGTTTAAAATAGGTACGTTTACATTTAAACCATAATTTTGATCCTGGTTTTAATTTTGCATTTAAGATTTAAGTTTAAACCTGTTGCTCCATTACTTTAAACTTACATTTCAATCTCATTTAGGGATTAACTTTAAACCTGAAGGTGAGGAGGAACTGATTTTGATGAGAAATGTTGAGATCTCTGACTTTTGATTGCAGACTTCGGTGCCTTGGCAAAACCAAGCACAGTTAGAGATGTTGATGAGAAATCAGCTGAGACACGTTAGATAACTGGAGTCTTATTCACAGAAGAAACATCTGAGAACCACACAAGACAAAACACCCTCTCCATTTAATCTCACTGCTGCCTATGAGAAACTATTGAGAAGTTAAAGAGACATAAGAGCTGGTTATTAAAATAAGTACTGGCACATACAACTTCATAAGCAAAACAAATTATTTCTATTTCAAACACCTGGGTGAATTACACAAAAAGACTTTCCAGGTCACAAAATGATCAGAATTATTTAAAAATTATTACATTTTCAAAAAAGTTGTTTTAGATAATGTGATATTGATATCATGATGATAACCGTTTACCACCAAATTCTTATCACTAAAATATGGTCAGAATTTTCTAAATTTTCTTTCTCAATAATAGTGATCCTCAGTATATTCTCATTATAATACATATAATTTTATTTATGAATTAATTTATTATAATGTATGTTATATTTATGTACAAAAATGTTGTTATAATAAAAAAAACATTTTTGTTAGTTTACATTTAATGGTAACTATTTTATTTTATTATTATTTACTACATATTTGACGATTTAAAGAATATGTATTCTTATATATTATTATTATCTATTATGGTAATGAGAATTAGATTATTTTTGGCATTATGATCATATATATATATTTTTTTGAGTGGGGGCTTAATTGTTGAATTAATTGTAAATAATATCACAAACAAAATTACTAAAAAATATATGCATCATATATTTATAGTAATTATATGTATAAAATATGTCATTTTTATACAAATATATAATTAGATAATACTAGTCCTAAAATATATAACTTTATATAATAAAGCCTGTTTTTAGCTATATAATTTTTTTCTCACAGTTTGTGAATGTGCTTGTTTGTAGGACTTAATATTTTGGCTAAAATAGTTTGATTACATAGAAATGTGACTATAAAATAATATTAATTATTATTATTATTATTATAGTTGTTATTATTATTATTATTACTAAATAAAGTTATACAAATATTAAATAAAAAACTAAATATTACAAAAAATACTATATTACAATAGTATTTTTGTAATATTTTGCTTTTATTTAATATTTTACAGCTTTATTTAGTAATAATAATAAAACTAACTATTATTATTATTATTATTATTATGGTAATGTGAATTAAATTATTTTTGGCATTTCAATAATGAGTTATATATGTTATATATGAATAATGAGTGTCACAAACAAAATGTATAATATACAAATAATAAAAATATAACATTTAAATATAAAATATTAAAAACATTGAATTTGATTGGTGTTGGTGTGAAATACCACACGTTCTCAGGATTTGTGAGATCTGGATTCTCTCTCACACACAAAAGCACATGTGTACATGATATATACATCCTGATAATGAATGCTGATTCGTTCTTTATCACCCATGCTAAAGTTGATCCTCACTGCCCACAAGCACACAGAGAAGTGAAGGAAAGACACAGGTTACTCACGGTTATAGTGGGAATAGCAGCTACCAGAGAGTACACGAGCGCCGGCGGTACGTTACTGCTCTCATCCGGTCCAGGGTAAGGTTTGGAGAACGCCTTGTCGAAGCAGAAGAACCCCTGGATGTGCACGGGAAAGGTGTCCGTGTATTCGAAGTAGTACGCCAGGAGAACGGTGCCTGCCATGATCACCAGCTGAAAATAAAACATGATCCACGCTTTACAACCAGAGAAGAAGACGCTCCGCCACAGCCCGCGCGCGACCGCACACTCCGGCGTCGTGATACTGAGAGCGTTACATGCTGTTCCGCGAGGAAAGCCGCACAGAGCGAGCGACAGGAGAGTGGAAAACGGGGACCGGTGCGACGAGAGTCAGCGGGGAGGGACAGCGTGAATTGGAGCCTGAGCGGACACAAATTGGCTCAGCTGCGCGAGTGTGTGTCCGCCTGCGCGCAAGTGACATTTGTGATGTGTGTGAAACACGAGAGTGTGAACACGCTCATTAGCGACTTTCAAAAGGAGCTCGCCTTCATTCAGTCCTTCTCATTTAACCTTTTAAAAATAAAGACAACACTTTCTGACAAAAGAAAACCGCAAATTAACTACTGACATATAATGAACCCAAAAGGTTTGAGGTACACTGAAAAAAAAATTTGGTGTTGAATTTTGAAACAATTTTTCACACACAATTACAAAGTAACGGCAAGTAACACATTGAATTATACGTGATATTTTGAAATAGAAAAACTGAAATGGCATTTTCTTGTAAAACATACTCAGATCATCTTTGTTTTATTTACAACTTTGAAAAAAGAAAAAGAAAACCATTTTTACAGTGTAAGGCTGTATGATGTGGTTAAAAAAAAATCTAATTACGATTTTTCTGATAATAAAGGAATAAAAAAATCAGGCTTGCTGTGCTTCTTTGTAGGGCTGTATAGTTATATCAATATGGCTAATACTACTACTGCTGCTACTCTTACTACTACTAATAATAATGACAATTATTATTATTATTACTACTAAATAAATAAAACAAAAAATTACTAGATAAAAACAAAACAAGAAATATTACTATTGCAATATCACTGTAAATAAAAAAAAGTATTTCAGAAAATTAATATAAAAATAATATATTTTATATCACAACTGTAAAATTGCTCATATTTAGGACCGTCTTCATTTTTAAAAATTAAACCATTGAAATTTCATCTTGACAGAAAACCGCAGGGAGCCCTTAAAGCTTTTCCGTTGTTATTAAGAGCTTTTTATTAAAAGTATAAAAATATGCTGGTATGTTTTGCATTCCCAAATGCACATTAAAGCGACCCAAATTCAGATCAAATGCAGAAATGAGTTTGTACGGAGCAGCATTTACTGTGAGCCCGAGCTGCTCTGAGACGCTGAAAACACTGGACCATGAGCTGTTCGCGTGTAAATGAACACAGTGCCGCACTTTACTCTAAAACATGCAGTGCATATATTTATTTAATTCAATATCAGCCTTACTTAATGCATGAATTTATACTAGATTAAAAAAATATCAAAACACATGTGAGAATAGACTTCATAAAATCACTAGCTGATTAAAAGACATCGAGTAAGAACGATAATGAGAAGTAGTTCAGAGAAAAGATATCATGCTAAATGACATTTTTAACTGTGACATGAGTGTCCAAATGCATTTTGGGGCCACTGTATTTAATAATACACAGTTGTTATTCTCATAAGTGCATAATACTTGTTTCCTGAGTACCTGAAGCATGAAAAATGCACTTGGATTATTCACCCAGATCTCTCAGCACAGACAGCCACACACACACACACACAAACCCTGACCCATGTGTCAGTCAAGTGTTCTCAACGCCTTTCTTGTCTCTCTCAGTTAAAAAGAGAGAAAGATGGACAAATACCGTTGCATTTAATTGTCATGGTGAAGAATAAAACATTGCAGGGTTAAAATATTCAGCAACATTTTGTTTCCTAACATAACAGCCTGCATATAATTGTAGATTATAACAGCCAAGCAGAAATTTATTTATTTTTATAATGCTTTTTAAAACACACATTGTTCCAAAGCAGTTTTACAGGAAACAAAGAAGATAAAATGAAAAGAGCTTAGATTTGGTGTAGTGCAATGCTGTATGTGTCCACCAGGGGACAGACTGGAGCTTTAAAGATGATTAGTGGTGCTTGATGGGGCAAAATCACTATTGATATTGCTCATTTTTAGAGTAAGAAACTTGAGCAACCCCCTAACCATAAGTAACTAAGTACTTTGGTGAATAACTGTGCTACAAAAATGAATAATATCTCAAATTGTGTGGTTTGTTGATGAGAGATGTGCTCAGAGTTATGATTTTGGACAATGAAATAGGCCAAAAATAAATAAACAAATAAATACTTAAAAACAAAAGGTCCAAATTTACATTGAATATCATAGGTATATGATCATGATGTAATATTATAAATTTACATAAAACATCATAAGGGTGGACTTTTTTTTTTTCTTTCCCAAAACACCTTGGCATTGTGGTAGTGAACTTTGTACACTTCTTCGGAAAATGCAAAAATCAAGTTGTTTTTTTAGTTTG